GAAGGAAGGAAGGAAGGAAGGAAGGAAGGAAGGAAGGAAGGAAGAGAAAATAAAGAAAGAAAAGATATTTTTCATAAATAGATTATTCTAAGAGGAAACTATTTCTCACTATTCTAGTATAGAGGAAATTCTATCATGAGAAGAGAAACATGAGCTAATTCTTAAGTAAAATCAATTCCAGTGAAATATTTTGCATGACTTCTTTGAAATTATTCTAAGAGGAAACTATTTCTCACTATTCTACTATAGAGGAAATTCTATCATGAGAAGAGAAACATGAGCTAATTCTTAAGTAAAATCAATTCCAGTGAAATATTTTGCATGGCTCCTTTGAAAACTATTTGAAATTTGGACTTGCGTTGCTTTTTTGCTATGGGAGAAAAAATAGCTATACTCTTTTTTTAAAAAAATTCAATTATATTATGTTTTGTTTCCAGAAAAAAATGCCCATTTAGAAGAATAGGTTTGCCCTTTTGCAGCACTCACTTAAAAATCATGGATTTGCTTCATTACTTTAAGTAATGATTCACTTAACAGAACTCATAAAATTGGTCATAAAATCAGCTGTCTTACTATTTTGATTTACGATTCTGGCTGTAAGTTGTAAATTGAGGACTAGGAATCATTTGAAAAGCATACTTTCTTTTGCTTTTGTTAGTCTGATGTCAATTTTTATTAACAGGAACTGTCTGAGGTTAACAACCAGCCCACTGATCAAAATATCATCTTTTCCTCTCTATCATTTTATAAATAAAAAAACACCATTAGAAATCATTGGGCAAATAGAAGAAGGCAATAGAGGAACTCAACCTATGTTCAAAATATTTTATGTATAAAATAATAGAATAAGTTTCTTATTTGAAAGCACCTTGAGCCCTATTGGGCTATTCAGTCCATGTTTGAAAAATCCTTGGGGTTGTTCCCAAATATCTGTCACCTTAGAGCTGCTGTAAGCAGCCTACAAAAATGAAAAGGTAATGCAGATATTTACATAAATGATTACACTTTACTTATTACCTAATTTACATAGCTGCCGAGCTCACAAACAAGTAACCTACAACCAAACAGTTCCTCCTCCTCCTCCTCCTCCTCCTCCTCCTCCTCTTCTTCTTTTTTAAAAGGAGGGATTTAAAATCTCCTAAATTAAGCCTGAGTCTCCATAGAAAGGCTGAGTTTTACTGCACAACAATATAGAAGTGGTTTTCCTGTGTCTTTTTCCAGGATTTTTTTTTCCAATTTCCTATTCCAGCGTACAAATCAAGCATCCAAATATAAGGAATTCCACTCTTCCAAGCCATTGTGCTTAATTCCCAAGCCCAGATAGGTGTTGTAGCTTCTGCATGTTTCTTGATTAATTCTGCAATTCATAGGCAAGGGCAAAGAATAACAGAGACTCATCATCTGGGAGAATTGCTAAAGGTTGTGAACATCATCTGGACTTAATATTTAACTTCTGTTGCTTTCCTATCTTCACACTTTGATTCCTCACTCATGTGCCTGTTTCTTTTTTGTCTGTTTTAAAATATTTAAAACTCTAGCAAGGAAGTTGAGGAATGGGCCACCTTCATGTTTACATTGTGCTCAGAAAAACAGGTAAATTACTGTTGTCTTTTGCCATTTTGACTTACAGCAAGAGTTTATGTTATTAAAATACCACATCTAATTTTTCTGGAGGGGGAAAAAGCTGAATTGTTAATTTTCATTTCACTTCTTCCTTTTCCAACCATATTCTAGTTCACAAGGAAACAGGGCATGCACAGTAAATGAGATTTTTACTAGCAAATGTTGCCAAAAGCTTTAATAAGGTAATCAGATTACAGAAGTCAGGTTTCAAATTAGCTCAAAAAATGTCACTTTTACAAGCAACTTTTGAAGTTGATAATGATGAGCTCATTCTTTTTTTATTTGCCTTCATTAAAGACAAGTTTACTTAAAGTTCTTCCTCCTTGTTAAGAATGTGAGTCAATTTTCCTCCACTCAATTCACATATCGCTTTCACTAAAATTTCTGTGGGGAAAGTGGGCTTCTAAATCTCCTGAATGTTGACAAGATAATAATTCTTGATTTTTATTTGTGATCCAACTCCAATTTTAAAAGACAGGATTACAACACATCAAACATAAAACAGTCTTGTATTTATTTAAACAATTTATATGCCCACCCATTTTTGCTATTGGACAAAAATAATTATATCTTAAGCAACTCTGGGTAGATTTAGATTTTAGATTTTTTTTAGATTTTTTTAATTATTTATAGGCCGCCCTTTTCCCTGAGGGGACTCAGGGCGGCT